ATCTGTCGCGTTTTGGTGGGACACACAGAGAGACACAGAGAGAGAGAGAGAGAGAGAGAGAGAGAGAGAGAGAGAGAGAGAGAGAGAGAGAGAGAGAGAGAGATGAATTTGGGAGGTTCTCGACAGAAAACATGACATGTAGCACAATTGGAATTATGACAAATTGGTGACCCATCGTACAAGTGCAGCAACAACAAACCATCAAGCAACACAACAACGAGAGGAGGAGGGGAAAGAAGGGGGAGGAAGAGGTGGAGGAGAGCGAAGATGGAGGAGGACAAAGAGGAGGAGGCTGAAGGAGGAGGAGGAAGAAGAAGAGAAGGAGAAGGAGAAGGGCATTTGCTATCTACCTCCTCGCTTGGCTTTATCATACAGGAGGAAACCAAGATTGCGCTGAGCGCCCTTCAAGCCTTGCTCTGCTCCCTTAAGGAACCATTGTTCTGCGACATCAAGGTCTCTCTCTACTCCCAAGGCATCGCGATAGCACATTCCCAAGTTGCTTTGCGAGTCGGCGAATCCTTTAACAGCAGCCTTCTCGTACCATTTGACAGCTTCGGCGTAATCTTGGTCGACTCCAATTCCCTTCTCATAACACCAACCCATATTATGCTCTGCCTGCACATAACCTTGCTCCGCAGCCCTACGGTACCAGGTCACCGCTTCTTGCTGGTTCCTCTCCACGCCTGCTCCTTTCTCATAGCAATATCCAAGGTGGGTCTGTCCTCGCGGGTCATTCTGCTCCGCCGACATCGTATACCATTTCACTGCCTCGGCTTCGTCCTTCGTCACACCTTTTCCGTGGAAATAGAGGAAACCAAGGTTGCACTGTGTCTCCGCATTCCCCTGGATAGCTGCCTTTCGGTACCACTCAGCTGCCCTCTCCTCGTTCTTCTCCACCCCCTCACCGTTGCCATAACAAGCGCCGAGCTTGTTCTGTGCCAGGGTATCGCCCTGCTCTGCAGCCTTAAGGAGCCACGCGACGGCCTCCTTGGCCAGCTCCTCACTCTGCTCTTCATTGCCTTCTGCCGATGCCAACTCTGAGGCAGAAAACAGCAGCAGCAATCAGAATTATTACGTCATTAGATTTGACTCATTACCCAAAAACATTAAAAAAAAAAAAAAAAAAAAAAAACGTTGCATGAGTGCGGGGTTCCATGCTTTGCATTTTCTTCTCATCCTCGCGGCCGACAAAAGCAAAAAAAAAAAAAGCCGCAGAGCATCAGTCTGAGAGAGACGGTCTGTCAGTGACTGAAGGCCGGCCCAGATTGACAGTCACCCATCGCATGATTGGTCCGGGGAAGGGGAGGAGGGAAGAATTGGATTTGTGACATCAGCAGCAGCAGTATCAGAATCGTGAGCATCATCTAGAAGCAACAGCAGCAAGAGCACAAACATGATGATGAAGAGGAGGAGGAGGAGGAGAAGGGGGAAAAGGCGGAGTATCAGCTGCAGGAGTATGGACAGCAGTGGTGGGTTGGGTACTAGCCTACTTGGTCTACGTGATGTGGTAGCCGTGTGGTCTGGAAGAACTCTGGTAGTTTTATGAGAATCGTGAGCATCATCTAGAAGCAACAGCAGGAAGAGCACAAACAGGTGGAGGCGGAGGAGGAGGAGGAAGCGGAGGAAGAGGAGGAAGAGGAGGAGGATCAGCTGTAGCAGCAGGAGCAAGGACGGTAGTGCTGGGTTGGGTAGGCGATGTGGCAACTGTGGGGTATGGAAGTATATAGTACTGGTAGTGTTATACATGCACATAATATGCATTCAGAAATGGAAGGAGAGGTGCTCGGACACAATGTACTCCTGAGACAAAAGGTGTTCAGTTTACTTTTCTGCATAACATTTTTTAATTTGGTAAAGAATTTCCATGTGCCCTGCGACAAACGTTGTTCAGTTTTTTTTTTTTTTTTTTTTTTTTCCAACCACACAAGGCCCCATCTATTCTGGGGGGCATCAGTCCGGTTGCTTATCACCGGCAAGCACGAGTTCAAGGTGAGATAGTAGCAGCCTGAGGGATAGAAATCAGCCAAGCCCCCAAGAAGGGAACCTGAGAGGAGCAAGTTGTTAGGGCAAGCTGACAGTCAATCCTCCCTCAAGGGAGCAATCAATGCTGGTCAGGGGTCCTTCAGCCATATGGAAGGAAGCGTGAGTGTGTTTCATGATGTAATATTCCTTTATGACTTGCCGGGGGAATAGGAACCGGACTGATGTTCCCCAGAATGGAAAAGGAGCCAGGCAAAAAAAATAAAATAAATAAATAAATAAATCAGCCAAGCCCTTGCGATACTACTAGTTGCCTAATATCAAGCTGGGGACTGCTACAGGCCATCCCACCTCCCAAACCATAGCCTCCCCTAGGATGCTTCTGCTGGCCGGGAAGCTTTACTAGCAGCACCCAGACACGCAGCAGAAGGGTCCAAGGTGGGGTGGGGGGGGGGTGGGGGGTAGGAGAGCCTAGCAGCCTCGCTGGCCGCTTGTCTCCTCCTCTGAACCAAATCCTCTCGCAAAAAGCCAAACAGACTTGTTCCTATAATGCCAGTCTCTATCCATAGACCATAGTCATGGTCCCTCTATAAAGTTCTATTCTCCTTGCCAGTTTTACTTGTTCTCCCATATTTCTTCATACCATCCTACTCAGATTACCTAGTACTTACATTTCCTTTGTTTATATCGTACTTGCCACCTACTACCATCCCTCGTCCCTTGCCCCTCTACCATCCTCTCATACAGTATCCTGTCGGACCTGTCTCTATTTTCAAGTCGGCCGAATTTTTCAAATTTTCACACCTTGTCCGAGATTTTGTCCCCCCGTTTTCTGTGAAACTCACCTCCCTATCTCCCAACCCCTATCTTCTTCAACTTCCCCTTATCTTTCCCCTTCTATCCTCTGGAATCCTCCTCTCGTAAGTAGGGTACGTCAACAATCCCACACCCCCCCCCCTTCTCTGTACGTCCCATATGTTTCAAAACTGCAATCTGTTTCAATCTGTCGGGGCTGTAACCTATTCCTCTTCATCCTCTGTCTCCCGGCTGAGGAACATAACCTGCCTAGATGGGGCCAAACTGCAGTTGGCCTGTGTGTGGATTCCCAGTCAAGAACTGCGGATACGGTCTCCATCCTTCTCAAGACCCGGCCTCCCTCCCCCCTGTGCGTCGGCACCGATGTAGATCTGCCAACAGGGCAATACTGATGTTCTCTAAGGCACGTTACTCATATGCCCGTAGGCTGTAGCGGCAGGGTCACACCCTGCCTGCATCTCGCGTTCCTCAACGTCCACAAGGCCCATAGCACCGCAGCTCTCACACACAATCTCCTCCCCCATCCATTCTCCAAAGACCAATTGGTTGACCTTAATCAAGGTTCCCCAGATGATCTCTGCATCATCCATCTCATCAACTGTCAGGGGCGGCCCATCTGCGACTTCCTAATGCCCGGACCTCCGGGCATCGCACAAACAGATGAGAGATAATTTCCAACTGGCCACATCCCGCAGCACATGTCTGATCCTTTTATCGACTTTTCGTGGCTTGCCATGATTGCCCTTTCGGGATTTCCAGGTGGTAAATTGGCCAGAGTAAACCTGCCTGCTTCTGGTCTGGCAGGGCTGCCATAATGGCACATGATTGTTCTTTCCATCTCCACTGCAGCGTTTATCTGTTGACGTAGATGTCCGGGAGCCAGGCCCGCGTAGCCCATCATTCCTTTAGTTCCCTGCAGATGTTTACTGGCTCCAGCAAGGTGTTATGTATATCTTTCGTGGTCACCTCCTGGATCGGCACAGACTTTTTATTCATCCTCTGCGCTGGCCATTCCCACTCCCTTGGGTCCCACGGCAGATCCCGCAATCTTGAAGCCACCTGAAATGGCAAGAATTGATCTTCTGCCTTTTCCCCCCCTTCACAAACTTCCACTCTCTCTATCATGACTCTTGCTAACTTCTTCTCGGCAGGTCTCCCCTGTGCCCTCACCTCTTGCAGCGGTTCGCCCAGCCCATCATACCCCAGACCCGGACTCACCAACCATTCGGTGACCTGTAGGTTGCCGTCCACCAAGGCCTGTTCCACCCTGTACAGTCTTTCTGGCACCTTGTCGCCCTTGAGCTTCACCCATTGCCCCACTGTTATATCATCTGGCTTCAGGAGGTCGACCCACTGAGGGGGGATCGCTTCCCTCAGATCTCTCACCCGCTGTCTCCTCTTCATCCGCCCTAAGCTTGCAGGGTGCTCTCCATTTCTTCACATGTTCGCCAATCCTTCCGCTCCTCATCCCGTGGGTGGCCCACTTTGTAAATGCCTTGCACAGCCCATTTCCACCCAAAAGCGCCTCGAGGTCCCTGCCATGGGAAGGGTTCCCCGTTGCCACTGCAGATAGAGCGGTTATCAAACAGCAACTGGTTGAAGACCGCATCTGCAGTTTTCGGCAGTCGGCATCTCAGCTGAACCCTCTTCCACAATGCCAACTTTTGGGACTAAACTGTCTCCCTTCGGAGCTGGCCTATCGCAGAACTATTAATCAGTCATAGGTCCACCAGTTCCCGTGGGATTTGGAGCGCCCATGCCAAATGAGTCTGCGATGCTGCGTAATCTCTTGCCAAGTTGCCCCCCTTGTGCGCAGCAGAGCCCAAATCACTTGCCGAAGTTGTAATGCGATTATATGCAGTCGCGGGTCCAACAATCCAAGGCCCCCGAAGCATCTTGAAGTTGGTCGAATGAGTTTATTCCATGATGCCACCCTACATATGGAGTTGCAGCTGGCCTTCGCATTGGATTGTTGGACCTGCGACTGCATATAATATAGGGTGGCATGGAATAAACCCTTCCAGCGCCTTCACATTGTCGGACCACAGGTGCGCATGGACAGCCTTCCTGTTATAGCGAAACGTTCGTCTGCCTGGCATGTGCACTGCGCCTGCATACCAAAGTGTGGCCAAGACCGAGTTCTTGATGCCTATGGTCTTACCGAAGACCCCCATGCCTCCTCTCACACTCCACGTCTTCAGTCGAGCTACCGCCGCTGTGGCTCGTATTGCCATCTGTTCAACACCCCCCTAACTTGGCGTGATATTGGCTCCTAAAAATGCCATTCTTTCTTCCTGTTGTCACAGTGGGGATATGGTGGATATCCCATCCCTCCGTGGAAAAATGGGCTTTGATTTATGCCAATGAACTCGTGCCCCCGAGTACCTGCAGAAGAGTGCCAACTCTTCTTTCAGGATCCCCAACTGTTGAGCGGTCGAGGGGATCACAGCATCGGTATCATCCACAAAAGCCGTAGTCTGCAGTTCCACTGCTGGTCCCGCCTTGGGGGCGATTAGGCTGTCGTCAACTCTCAAGATTTCACACATTGATTCGATGTAAGTAACATAGAGGGCCCGGGATAGTGGGCACCCCTGCCTCACGGAGCGGCTAACTTTCAGGCTGTCTAACCTCACTCCATTAACCTTCATTACCGTAGTAACTGTAGCTCCTGTAAGCAGGTTCCGCATCGCCGTCGGGCTAATCCGCACTTGCTCGGTTACTTCGTTAAGGCTCAACGACGCCCATATCATATCGATGCGGCTGCACTGGACTGCAGTGGTTCCCCAGAAGGTAAAAGCCCTCTCTTGCGTATATAACGTTCTGTATGAGGCTGTGCAGCCCAGCCCTGTCATTCCATTAACCAATGCCAAATCCAACAAATCCACCTCCACTTGCCGCTCACCCGCAGAGTCAAGCTTCAAATCCATTATCGAATTGAAGTCCCCGACAATTATTATTATGTTATGTTATTTATTTCTGGGAACAAAGTCTGCAGTCGTTCCCACATCCTGCGCCGTGCTCCTATCCCTGTCGGCCCGTATACAGCGGCCACCCCCCAGGTTACCTCTCCCCATTGCAATAGAACCCAGTCTACCCTGTGGGCATGCTCGAGATGGGCCACCCGCCGAAGGCAATCCCGGCATGGGTTTTCAAAAGCGAAGAATATTGGCCGGTGGTGGCCAGCTTCTGGGAAAAATGGTCTGAAGATTGCCTGCAGGGAACCTGCTGGCGCATGTGATGA